TAGTATAAAAGCAATTGACATAATCACAATTACTAATGATTTTACGCGTTGGATAACTTATTATCCATAATTATATTCCCAATAATACATTTCATTTACGAATCTGCCAAATCGGTGTGTACTATTTAGTTTTTGAAACTACAGACAATTGTTTTTTTGTTTTTTTCAAATTTCAAGTACAAAGAACAATCTATTGTTTGCAAAATCACACGAACAAATCTGGGTTAGATATTATAATAACTCATCATGCACATTTTGTTAATATTCCAATTAATATTTTGTTAAATTGTGTAAAATCGTATGCTATAAGTTGTACACTCTGAGTATACGAACACTGTAACCGTATTACTTATTTTATTCACCCGCATCGAATGTCTAATCAAGTCCAGAAATAACTGTTTAGAAATAAACGTTTAAATTTAATGATTCACTTCCGGTCAGTTTTATTATTCAGTTTTATTCAAAGATTCATTTACTGTTTACAATTACTACCCGCCATTATGTCCGAGACGGGTAAACTTTGTCGGGCTGGTGAAAAAACGGTGGTCTGATAAAAATTTCTCAGTTGGATAAAATGTAATGCCATAAAATGGGAAATTCAAAATATATCTTTTTTTGTGTAGGCTGAATGTTGACTTTTACTTAGAAAGGAAACGTGAAGATTTCACAATTAACTAATACAGGACTGCTAAATATTTGGCACGGGTTGTATAATTTGAATGTTGTCTGCTTAAGTAGTCTGTTGCACAAAATGGAATTTGTAACTTGATATCCTTAATACGTTTGTAAGATTTAACCCTGGAAAACATTTTACAAGTATGTCTATTAAACTCAATTCAAAACGAGCTCACGGGTTAACAAGCGGTTAGTTATAAAATCGAACCGCTTTCTGTTGCGGACACGTTCAGTAACATGGCAACCAGGTAGCTCATCTATTGTAATATATTTCTAGATATTTTATTGAATTTAATACCTGCATATCAAGAGAAATGCTCTGAATATCTACAACTGAGTTGTTTCTAAAGTTTCGAACAGATTTATTGAATGTTGCAGTCACGTATCATCATTTCACATTTTATCAACATTGCCTGGTGTTACGTGATTAGCCACAAGAGATATGGTTAATCAATAATCATCGAACACCATCATAAGCCGAAGTAGGCTACCGTTGAGCACGCCAGAGCTACAAGTCTTGAATAAATTGAAATTAAGCAGTATTTGATCTGATTTGATTTCCCAAAGGGTACTGTGAGTTTAATTTCCAAACTAAAACGACAGTATGTGCGACTTATTCGGCAAATGAATTGAATTGAGGCATGTGGAGAATCCAAATACTGTCGATCCTCGCAAAAATAGACTGGTTTAAATAAATTCACAGCGAACTAATGACTTATACAACGCGTGTAAAAGTTGTCGAACACGCGCTAAGTGACGACCACCGCTCTTTATCGTTTTATTAAAGAAAGCTTCATGTTGGTATTTACAAAATAGATGGAGGCAACAGATTCTGGGGTAATCGTTGTAAAATAATGTTGTTATTCTTCTTTCAATCACAGATATATTAACTGGGCAACAGACTAACGGAGGATTATTTGAAAACTATAATATAGACTGAATTTCCCGTGGACCAGCTTAGCTCACCTGGTGTAACGATGGTATCCCCAGAAATGTTTACAGATGTGACTAACTCCATGCCAACGGATATTTATACAACTGATATTCCTGTTATCTATTTTAGATACTGTCAAGTTTTCAAAGGGGAGGCGGAGTTAGCCATCACACTGCTCCTTGTCGCACTTGCCGTATTTACGAACTTATTGTTTTTTTATGTCATTGCGCGAACTGCCACCATTAGGACGACCCTCATGGTCCTGTTTTGCAACTTAGATTTGTGTGATCTTTTGTACGCAATCGTGAGAGCGGGTATCCTCGGGTCTGGATACTCTTGTGCTACAATGATACCGGCTGAAATCCCGACGAAGACGTCGACTTTTACGATCGTTGTCATAGCAACTGAACGATTCTATGCAATATGTCAGCCGCATCTATACAGTAGACGCAAACTGAATGACAAAGCCGAAATAAGCGCGTTGGTACTCTCCACGTGGGTGCTTGGAATATTGATGAGTGTCGTGCCGTTGTTATTAAATGGTTGCTATAGCACCAACGACATATTGAAATTGGCAACGTCTGAATTCATAGACGCGATTCTATTTGTGGCGTGCATAGCTATTTGTGTGGAATTCTACAGACGGATTTTCAAAAAATTCAAAACTGATATCGTACCAGACACGTTCCCCGGCGTTTTTGATGAAAAGGAATTAGTAATTTTATGTCGGAATGTTACTGTTTTTCATTTTAGCATCATCACTATCACCTTCATTGCACGGCTTATGTATACCGTATTATATATAGCGGACTCGACGTCTGTGAATGCTATATTTTGCTTGTACAAGATACCAAATTTACTTCTTCTGTTTGAAGCGGTTTTGAAGCCAATCGGATATTTAGCAACGAATCCTAGGCTACGACAATCTCTGAAAGACTCTTTCAATTTTAGCAACGAGGACAACAATAAAGATGTGACGAAAAAACCTGCACGGCAAATGCTGAAGAAATATACGTCAAATCGAGTTAGACCAGAAACATCTAGTACGAGTCAGAAAAGGCATGGTCTCCATGGTGATAGTGTTAGTGGCGATGAACGATCAAAACCAAAACAGTCGCCGTTCACTCTGTTTTGAATAGCGCCATCATTTTCCGTACGACATTTTTATCACTAAAAGTCGGTGATGGCGTATATTTTAAATCTGGAGATACGATTGACTGATCAAATCGTTTTTTGACGCAAGGTCGCTGCACCCCGCCTATAACAATTATGTTACTTTTTGTAGATAAAAATCTTCGTGATAATCTGCACATTAAAACTATTTGATGCTATCAAGTACAATATAATATTTCGAAATTGATTACAAATATGTTTCTCGCATATCACAATGCATGTTTGCATAATACCGTCAATTGTTTCATGTAAATGTTTTTCAATACAATATATATTAAATATATCTCATTGGTCTGATTTGTATTGATTAGGTACTAAAATAATATAGCAACCAGTGTTGCCAAGGTTGAGCATACGATATTCAATTGGTATATATAATCTCATGGCATTCCGTGAAGTGTACTATTAAGGAAAGGCTTAATAGATTATTTTTGCTGAGCAACCTTAGAATGTTTACGTCCAGTGCTTAAACCACGATATAACACCACATACTGGCCTAAGATGGTTAACTACAATTAAAACAGAAGATTGAATTTTGAAGTGTGATCACCTAATCTATATGATCACCCAACTACATTGCATTTTCCCGGCAGTTCGTCTTTGAAATATATCGTTTGTGTAGAGTAAAAAAACTAAACTAAAAGTTGTTGACATACGACGCCATCAATAATTAAGTTAAGGTAGAGATGCAGTTTACCTGATAGGTATTTTAATTAGTTAATTAGGAAACCAAGATGACCTCCTTGTCCACAAAACTATATATTTTCGGTAAAGCTTATTGCATGAATTTTAAACTTTTGTTAGTATTTTATTTTTATGGACACTGTAATTTGAAAAATGCACAAAAATGTGCTTTTTTGGTCAAAAAGTGATTTAAAAAAAATTTGCTTGTTTCCTGTCAAAATTGGTTTATGGGTACATCTGTTTACTATGAAGAAAGCGCCGTCTTGAAAACTGTCTACCAAGTTGTCAATTTTGTAGAGCAGCAGCTCAAATTTCACTACTTCAATTTATGCATAAATTAACACCCACGCTAGTTGTCTGAACGATTGCTGTAACTCTATTCAACTAAAAACAATGCCCCGACGGCGTTTTGAAGATAAACACATTGTCAATCATTTGTGAAAATTTCAAAACAAAAGGTCAAAGTGTCTAGGAGCTATTTATTTTAAAGTTCTGGAATGTGCACTAAAAAGAAGCTGAGATAATTGCTAATTTGCATAACAATTCACTCAGTAAGAAGTTTGCTAATCTCATAATTAAAATGGCTGTTACAGTTTCAAATTTAAATGTATTATCATTTTGTGAAAAGTTAAATACAGTGCATAATATGGAGATCCCGTCATTTTTTTTTTCATTTATTTATGTACAGCCAGCTAAATCTTGCTAAGCATTCGAAAGAGATAGTTTTGCCCTGTTATCTATATTTTAAAATCGTTTTTTGAGTATGTTCCACTATTCACAATTCTACAAAATAGCCAAGACGTTTTGGATGAATAAAAAGTAAAAAAAAAAATTCACTCCAAAATTGCCACGAACCTGCATCTCTACATTAAATGATTGCGAACGACCATAACAGTAGTTGCAGGGTAACAGTATCCAGGTGCAACACCCACCCCTTACCACGACGTAAACCACCACCAATTACATGTTTCTTTCTAATCGGACTAGTAGTACTAATATAATCAGGGACTGTTCCAAGTGGCTGTCAACTAAAATTGAGATTTCCACTAAAAAAAACAAATATATTGAAATAGCATAGGTTACTTTTGACACCAGCTGCATCATTCTCGTCCCACCATCGTTTTAGTGATTACGTATCTGTCTCATCCTCGTTCCATCACATTTTATGGACACGGAATTATATTCAATTGTCGTAGTAGTTTGAAGAAGTAAATCACATGCACGCGATAGGGGGCGCTGTTGCTTATGGTCTCGGTTGTGGGAAAACTAAAGCACATTACAAAACGTAATTGTGTGACGTCCAGTGAAATACAGCACGGCACAAAATCACACAACCATGTGTGACTTTTCTATAATGAACTGGATGTTAATCAGACGACTAACGTTATAACTCGGTGAATTACGGATATGAGCCTTACAAAATTAGAGAATCTTGACAATCATCGAAAGGTAGCTATAGTCAACTCAAATATATCACCACCGACAAAAAATATTGTTCAACGCTTGAATTACGTGTTTCCACAATTTTCTTCCGTGGGTGTCGCTATTAAAAACAAGGTATTTACAATTCACCAATTTTAACATATATAACACGGTTATTCATTCACATCAAACGGAAGACGGTCTTTGTGTGCTGCTTCGAAAGCACGCTTACGAAGCACATTCAAAATACATGGCATGAAATGCAACTGTTTAAACGAGGGTCCTGATACCTCCTTTTACACCGAACGAAAGAGCACACAGGGTCGCCAGTAAAGTAGTTTTCCCCTAATGGCATACCCGCAATATGTATAAGTAGCATCACCTGGGGAATATTTCAGCATGTATGAGGTGTATATGACGTCTACGTGTAAGCTGGAGTAAAAAGAACGCCATAATAATTAATAATTTATATTAAAATATGTAATAGGGCGTGATTTCACCAACATAAGTATCAATTAATTAGGTTTTATAAATATTTAGAAACCAAATTAATAGTAGAACGTAACCCGACAATAAAATCAGACGAAAATGCTATACGTTGAAATGTTACAATATTCTATACATAGGAATTTCCATGAGAGGTCAATAACCAGACAACTCATCGATCACAAAGCCTGTAAAGAAAAAGTGTGAGGGTTGATTTCAGTCACGTTGCGACTAGTGTTGATAAAATTGTGCTTAATCTCATCAGCAAGGAACATGCTAGTACAAAGCCCGCGGATTACTGTAATCGCCAGATATTATTTGATTATTCTGACGTTTTGATTGATGAGCGGGTCAGATCAAAGGGCATGAAGATGTGATTCATTACCGGTATAATAAATGGATAGGAAAAATAAGTAAATTTGCATATTGTTTTCTAGAGAACACCGTTTTCTGTTGATAATCACAAAAGCCCCATCATCGATGCCGACGTTGTTTTGAAAAATAACACTAGTATTTGGCTTATTTGAAATATTCGAAAAGATGGACTATTTGTGCGAAATATCAATCTCTCTGTAACTTGCCCCCTTTTTTTCGTGGACCTGAGAATTAGCTATGGCGACTTCACTTCAGGACATAGTTCAATCTTTGTTATCATGTACGTACAAGGGAGAACGAAACCAATGAGAGATCGGTTTAAGCACGTGACTTATTATAACAACTATTCGCGATCTCATTAAATGCCTTTAATGAATATAAGACCTTTGCAACCTTTTCACAATTTGTTAATGTCAAGGTTCTAGAGTTAAATGGTTTATTTTGATAGTTCAACGAATTGGGTTTCATTCCAACAGTCAATATAGTATAAATATAGAGTACGCGCAGTGATTTTAGTTGCAGAGCTGTCATGAGATAATTAGTTCATATCCTCGAATCGCGACACTGATTTCCATTTTTGATTATACTAGGTCAAGTTGACATCCAATTCAATAAAATAAGAGTTAAAGTTAGTAAGGCATTCTCAAATGCGATGCGGTACAATTACATATCACTATGCTCACTGTGCCGAACATATAATATGGCTGTACGGGTTTTGGAATAATCACTACAAATAAGCTATACCGTTATATGGAGACATGTTAATGAAAATGGTCAACGCAATCAATCTCTGATTTACATGAATGTTTGTGAGTGGTAATTTGCCACACACGATTTCGCCCAATCGGATTCTGTAGGTGTGATTATTTATATATATATATATATATATATAAGCAGCTCGTCGAGTCATAAATCTTTTCGAAAAGGCACGCAAATACACACGGAAATGAACTTGAAATGGGTTAGGATAGACCTTACAAATATATGTGACTTAAAGATATATGATCAAACACGACAACAATTGCGGTGACAGATGATCGGATAAATTCATGATTCGATGAGAACTATTATTAGTTGTTTGTATCTTCTCAGTACAGATAAATATATCTCCGAGCAAGTACGGTTAAGTTGTGTGCCGTGCACTGATATGAATATGCATGATTCAGCGAAATGATTATCACACAAATATTAATTATTCACAAGTTCAAGCACAATGTCAACTAGCCATCGGCTATTCGATTATATATCTTAATGCGGGCGGGGGGGTTTGTCACGCACGCGCACGCGCGGGAATTAAGTCCTACTCGACGATAACAACGCATACTAAAAACGCAAGAGCTCATGGGTAGACGCTTGTCGCATGCGCAGGTGGTCCCCCCCACTTTAATTCAAACTTACCTGCGGCATAGCTGAATCTCACTAAGCTATTCAAATATCTATTTTCGTATTAGATATTAGTTATTGTATTCTTTTCTGTTTCCTGTTAGCGTCTATCAAAATTTCTTACCACATAAATACAGATAATGGTGTCAGAGGTCAATAGCGTTGGCGGGATATTTAGAACATGAATTCAAAACCGTGGGCAATTTCTGTTCACAGAACAATTAGCACTAAACCGAATTATCGTAATTCCACTGTTAAATGTCAATCATTGCCATGATGTCGTAGTTTCGGCTTATGATCACTCAAACACGTGTGATATCCTTACTGTTGGTAGAATAGGGTAAGTGAATATTGTGATTTATTTATGTACAGCCAGATTACATTCGAATATTAAATTAAATATTAAATTGTGACTGTTGTTACTCTGTGTCATATTGCGTGGTCACAACAACATTTCCCAATGTATAAAAGAGTAAACCTTTCTATTTCAGAGTTGTAAGAATACACAGATCTAACTCATTCATCCTGATAGTGACTTTCAGATCAAAAGGGTAATAGAAAATTGGAGATCGTTGTATTTTTGCGCTTAAATTAGGGGAATTAACATCGTTT